GTCTTCATCTGCCTGGGCATCTGGAATACGGCCGGTCTGCAGGGCTGCAGCCAGTTCGAGGCTGTGCCCTGCAAAGTCTGGGCCTGGGAGTCAAGGGAGATGGAGGAAGGATGGTTGTAAGATGAGGAGGAAAGTTGGACGGAGAGCTGGGGTTCTTGGGGAGATTCCTGGAGGCTCCCTGGATTCCGTGTGCCTGGGAGAGACTAACCAGGGGCAATCTGGGCTTCTTGCAGCCGTTGGAGGTAGAACTGCTGGGGGAAGGGTGTGACGGGCCCGGATTCTCACCAAGCGCTTGAAGCCCTTGCGGCAACTCCAGGTCACACAGAGTAGGCACTGGCAGGTGCTGGCAAGGGGCGACAGGGTCCCTGCCACCTGGAGAGCTTGCCTCGTCCTCTGTCAGCCAGAGCGTGGCCATGTCACTATCAATGGATGCCTTGTCCTCCCGAAGGCAGTGGCAGTTAGAGGCTCCAGGGGGTGGTGTCTGTGGGGGGCTACGAGCCGGCGTGCTGTCCAGGAGAGGCATGGAGGAGGGGGAAGACTGGAAGCCGGCAGCATTTGGTGGGGTCAGAGTCAGCGCCTGCAGACGGGTATTCAGTTCTGCCTCTGTGCCCTGAGAACTAGGTACCCTCTGGGTGGCACGGACAACATGCAGGAGCCCCTGCCTGGTCCGTGGCAATGAACCAGCCCAGGGGGGAGTGTCCAAGGCTGGGTCCTCGGCTCCAGAGACCTCAAATGCAGTGACGAAAGAGGCGTCGGAACCGCAATCCCAGTGCCCTGGAGGGGATGCTGAGCTCCCATCTTTGTCCACAATTTCAAGGGGAACAGGGAGGCTGGGGGGTCCGGGGTCAGCCTCTAAGCCCATGTCCCTGTTGTCACCTCTGCATGGCTGCGTTTGTTGTGCGATGGAGTCCAGCGTCTTATCGGGAAGTCCAGAGAGGCCCGGGGCTGCAGGTGAGAGTGAGGGCCGGAGAGGGGAGCAAGCGGGATGAGACAGGGACAGGAATAGGATCAGACAGACAGAAAAAGGACATCGGAGTGTCTGAGACAGAAAGAGCTGGCCACAGACAGTGGACATGAGACAGTCACAACCAATGGGTGAGGTGGGGGAAACTGGATGCCAGAGACTGGTGCAGAAGTCAAGCCCCAACAGCCCCGCAGGCCCTACTCACTGCCAGTCGTAGGCTCCGGCTCCTGGGTCTCTGCCCCGATCGTCCGGGTCCCGGTCCGCATGTGGAGATCCCGCAGGACTCCCGCGCAGTCCACGTGTCCCTGCTGCAGGGCCAGGTCCAGCGGCCGGAGTCCGTCCTACAGCGGCGCGGTCAGCAGGGGGCGTCCGAGGCCCTTCTCCCTTCCCTCCCTCCCTCCCTCCCTCTGGGCTCTCCAGCCTTTCTTTGCCCGCGCAATGCCTGACAACCTGGTCGCGCAGCGCCGGGTCCGCTCCGTGGCTCAGCAGCAGCTCCAGGCCGCGGCGACAGCCCCAGGCGGCGGCCACATGCAACGGTGTCAGCGCCTCGACAGATCTAGGGCAGCGGCGCAAGAGGGGTCACTGCGGACTCAGCCTCCCGGCAGGAACCCCAACCTCCGCTCTGGGGACCTGGAGTCTTAGTTCTCGGCCCCCCATCTCCACCGTCCAGCCTGGGACACTGCCCTTGGAACCTAGAAGCTATGACCTCAGGCCAGGACCCAAACCTCTGCCGTCTGACCCTGGAGCCTCAACCCCCACATCTGCACCCTTGATCCTCATTTTGGTCCTAGCGCAGTCCCGTTCCCCGCCCTCGGTCTGGGACCCCAGTGCCTCCCTCGAGCCCTAGCCCCTGCCCTTGGACCCCCCCAAGTTCCCTCTGCTAGATCCCCCAAACCCTACCCTTGGGCCCTGAGGCCCTGGCCCCGGATAGTGGGGCGTCCCTTTCCGGATTCCCAGACTTCGGCTTCTGGAGACCCCGCCGCGGGCCCAGGCTCCGCCTTACCGAGCGTTGGGGTCCCCGCCTCGGCGCAGTAGGACCCCGAGGCAGCGCAGGCCGCGCGGGTCCCTGGCTCCGGCCGCCAAGTGCACGGCCGCTGCGCCGTCCTCCAGCACCAAATTAGGGTCAGCCCCGCGGCGCAGCAGCTCCTCCACCGCCCTGCAAACACCGGGGTCAGAGTGGACCCCGGCCAAAGGCCCCCACTCCTGGCCCGCCCCCGGCCCCGCCCTCACCAGGACTCCTCCTCCCGCAGCGCCTCCCGCAACCGGCGCGCCAGGCCGGCCGCGGAGCACATGTCCTGGCCGGGTTCGAAGCGCACCACCTGTACAGTTGATTTCCTACTTCCCGCGGCGGACTTGTGGGCATGCGCCGCTCCGCCCCTCGGCTTGGGACGCCCCTCTCCAGGGCTGAGCAGGGTCCCCAGCCAGGCTGCCCCGCGCCGCACCAGGGCCCACATCGGGGTTCGGACGCATTAGTGTCCGCAGGAGCCCGAGACAACCAGAGGCGCCCAAGCAGGGGCTGGGGCCGCCGATAAGAGCCCGGGCGGGAGGATGCCACTGGGTGTGCCATTATCTCATTTCAAAACGGGAAACACGAACGCCCCCTGCTCGGGTGGGTGGAGCTACGATGAGGAAAGTCCGGGGTGCCCAGGGCGTTAGGTCTAATCAGAAGATTAGGGAAAATCTTCTGCCAGGGTGGCCTCTTGGAGGGCGCGTGGCATTATGAGAGGCTTCGGCCGGGCACGGTGGCTAACACCTGTAATCCCAGCACTTTGGGAGGCCCAGGCGGGAGGGTTGCATGAGTGCCAGAGTTCGAGACCAGCCTGGGAAACTTGGATAAACCCTGTCCCCGCAAAAAATACAAAAAATTAGCTGGGTGTGGCGGCTTGTGCCTGTGGTCCCAGCTGCTTGGGAGGCTGAGCTGGGAGGCTCTCCTGAGCCTAGAAGTGTGAGGATACAGTGAGCTGTGATCGCACCACTGCACTCCAGCCTGGGCTGTATTGGGGAGATCCCATAAGCGCCAAGGCAGGAGCGAAAGGCTTCAGCCTATTTCCATATAAATAATGAAGAAGAAAGTAACTAGAAACATAACGGTAGTAGTTAGATATTTATATGTGATCTTAGTTATTCATAGGTGATCTTAATTCCTTTACTAATGTCTATTAGGTCAGAAGTGTGAACCTCGCGTGACATTGTGAAATGAATGACACTAAGGCAAGATGCTCTAAGCCCTCTGTCATGCCCGCATAAGGGCTGCTGAAGGGCGCCTCAGCTGTGCGGCAGCGCCAGCTCTGGGAAAGCGCCCGCTGTTTAGCCAGCTAGGAGAGGAGATGTCCAAAATGGCCAAGACATCTTCTTCCTGAGGAAGTTAGGAGAAAACTCCGCTTCTCCAAGCTCTTGTGCTAAGGCCTGACAGTTGTCAGGGAAGCCCGCAGACATCCGGGGGCTTAACTGTGTCTATGTGATGCTGTGCTTCAGTGGTCCCATTCCATGCCTACTCTCACGCCCTGCTTCTTCACCTGGTTCCTTTTGTCTTAGAAAAGATAACCAGTAATAGTAACATAAATCTTAATGTTTTAGTTCTTTCAAGTATGGAAAAAGTGCTGATCCATTATGCCCCTTACCTCAATTCGGGTGCCAGAAATTCCCGAGCCCCTACCTCAATGACACGTGATGTGCTTGACCCTATCACTGCCCCGCCCCACTGACCCTGCCCCCAGATTTACAACTCAATAAAAGTGAGAGCATCCCGAGGAATTCGGGGCCACTGCTGGTTTCCGCGACTTGGGTAGCAGCGGACCCCTGGGCCCAAACTCTTTTCTCTATCTCTGTGTCTTCTATTTCTATAATTTCTCATCTCAGCACCAGCCAGGAGTGGCTCACAGAACCCTGTAGGGCTGGACCCTACATTGGGCAACAGAGCGAAACTCTGTCCCAGAAAGAAAATAAATAAATAAATAAATAAGAGGCTTCAATATTCAACCCCCAGGCCAAGGGCCCTGGTTCACTCCTTTAACGACAGCGCTTTGGGAGGCTGAGGTGGGAGAATCACTTGAGCCTAGTTGTTTGCTGTTGCTCGTTTTTCTTTTTTCTTTTTGTCAGCGCAGGAGTTGAGACCAGCCTGGACAACAGAGGAGAAGGCTGTTTTTTTTTTTTTTTTTTTTTTTTTTTTTCTGAGACAGGGTCTCATTATGTCACCCAGGCTGG